TTTGAGAAGAAATTCAGGAAACGTATTCCTACCATCTTCTGGAATTACCTTTGCTAGCTTCTGCATTTCTTCAAATGTCAGGAAACCATATACTGTAGAACAGTGTTGTCCAAACTTGGCCACTTTAAGATTAGTAGACTTCAACTCCCAGAATTCCCCCAGCCCCACCCATGCTGGCTGGGGAATTCTGGGAGTTGAAGTCTACTAATCTTAAAGTGGCCAAGTTTGGACAACACTGCTGTAGAACAATTCTTTGTTGGATAAAATGTTATCAGTTTAGGCCAAAAGCTGGAATCTTTGAAAAGGCATGAATTAGGACTACATTCTCCTTATTTTTTCCAAATCTTTTAAATGTTGATGGCAATAATGGTGATATTAACTATCTATTAAATTACATTACATATCTGGCAGCATTTTTCATCATCAACTGACATTACCAAAGTTTATTAACCTCATCTCCACCTACCTTTTACACATCTATTTCTTCACTAGTGCCTAAGCCAGATTGTAGAAACGCTTCATCTGATTTGACAATTGATGGCTGTCCTTTTGCCTTCTTACATTTCTGGCTGCCATAGTTGAATTTACAGCTAGACATTGGGAGAAGGAAAGTTCTGTGCGATGTGCTTCCACTTCCTCTCAGCTCAGTCTCCTTTGTAATATGGTTCTTTATCCCTCTCCAATCTCCATATGCACAAGGATGAGTTTTAGTTCTTGAAAGAGTATGCCACATAAGGAAGCATACATCCCTCTCAAGTGACCTGTCCTAGAATGATGTGCACAGACGTTGTCCAAAGAAGAGGACCTGAGTTGGCCAGAAACTCAATCCGCAGTGTTGCTTCCAATTGGCTCCAGCAAACCTAACACTTGAAACCCCTCTAGGTAGGACATAACTTTCCATATATATTTTCAAGCATAACTTACAATTTAGCAATTGTTCCTTTTATCTCCTGAAAAGAGGGACACCATGTAAGCAGAGCTTCCTCACTCTACAGGATTCAGAAAAGTGCACCCTTATCTCCCCCATCTTGCTCAGAACCTGGAACTATGTTTTTTTCATTCATAAGCTGTTCCCAGGTATAATGTAGGATTGATAGTAACAAGTGTACTCAGGTATTGCGAACAGATGCTAACTTCAGTAAGCTAATAAAAAGATTTGCTGTTTGGTAGTAACTGTTTCTGAGTAGAAATCTGGAGCTGCAAACATATATGAAAGGTGAGAAGGTTTTGCATTCTATTTAGAAGTGCTCTGTGCATTCCTGTTCTTGTTCTGATTTGTTCTTATCAGCTATGAATGGAATTTAATTCCTTATTTGCACAACTGAGAACCGCTTTCAGGAAACTAAATTTGAAAACAATTCAGGTTAATTCTTTTTGATTATAAGAGACTTGGTGAAGTCTTGCACATCTGTTTGCAAAGTGGAGCTAATCAGAGGCCAAAACAGGTTAAGCAGTGGCTCTCCTAGGATACATGTGTTGTGTGGAGTACCTTTGGAATAGCAATCTTATGCGTATTCAGCAGCATCAAAGGAAAGCCAATTTTATCAGTGAATTTAGTAGGTTCAGAGGCCTTCTATGTTGCAATGCCTGCTCTCTGGAACAGCATTGCCCAGAGATCCATAGGGCTCCCACCCTTTGAAAACATGGCTGTTCTCCCAGGCCTAGGAGTAGGGTGGTTGTTCAGTCTGTCATTTTTTATTTGGAATTGTGCATGTTTCTTCCTGACGTGCATGACCTTTTTATCTTATTGTTTGTTACTTTTTATAAGGTGAACTACCCAGAGTCATTTGGAATTGGGCAGCCTCTAAATTTAATAGAATAAATGAATGCTTGTCTCCTGCCACAATGAAGCACTGTAACAGTTATGGAAGGAACTGTGAAGACTTGATTAAAGGGTACAGTAGAGCCTATGAAGATTATGAGTCCCCAAAAGTAGACAAGACCATTAATGCTTTGTGCTGTTTATTCAATAAACTTTCTTAAGATGGAAACAGAAAATTTCAACACACAAAAATACCTTCTTTGCAGGATTTCATGAAATAATCAGACTGGATTCTGTAAGCTAGAGCTTCTTCAGTGGTTTTTATGCAATTAAGTGGTTACCGTCTGCTTAAAATACACAAAATGTTACATATAAAAACTTACATATAAATACATAAAAGATAAAATACAAGTCCAGATACTATTTCTGACAAAGACGTTTCATTAAAGTCTGTAACAAGGAAAGAAAATCCAAACAAAAACTTTCCCCACTCTTATCTTGCTACATATGTTGTCATCAAAAGGGGCAAAGCCCAATCTGCAATATACTTTAGCAGTCCTCATCACCAGACTTCCAGTAAAAAGGAAAAGATTTTCCCCTACATTAAAAGCAGCACTCCCTTCTTCAGTTAAAAATTCTTCGCTCTCTCTGAAAATTATAACTTAAAGCAAAATGAGCAAATAACATTTTACCACTGCACTCCCCCAGTAACACAAACGTGAGATATTCGATAGAATAAAAGCATATTGCACATCGTGTTATCGCAATCCTGAGAAACTTTCCACAAACAATACTGTCATTCAGTGACAACAGCTCCACATCAAGCGGCAACTTCACACAGTAACAAATGTCTTCAAAATATTTTGAAATTGGAGCCACACGAGTCTAGTACGAAACTCAATTATACAAAATTGTTTAAGGCCATGATCCTAAAGTACATTTATATAGAAGTATTGAAGAAAAGGGGCAAGGCAAAACTTGGCAAAAGTGTTGTCAAATCGACATATTCAGAAGAGAATCAGTGGTGGGGGCACGGTACTTTAGCCCATCCATTTTCATCAATTATTCTCTGCAAACATTACCCCCTCCTCTGCTTTCCAGACTTCCTAATTCTGGAGTCCAGCTAGAAGGAAAAAAGTGTGCTGGAGAAGCATTTGCAGAAGGAGATTAGCTTTCTTTATTATGTGTGGTTCATTCCTTGCTTTGAGTGCTAATGCTCAAACTAAATTGTAACTTTCAATGTTATTTTACATATTATCTTGAAAATTCTGCATGGCAACCTATCTGCAATGGTCATCTATAGGATTACTCCAGTTAGTGTCTTTTTAGGAATGCAAGTTTTCAGTTGTCTGATCATTTTCTATTACCTTATATTCCCTTATTCACGAACCTTTTAAGAATTCCTTTGTATATTTTTGTCTACAGTCTGTTTTCTAAGTCATATTGCAAATTCCTAACATCCTATAGTAAAAGGCAGCAGTTCCCTCAAATATTAAGGGATTTCACTATTTTTCTTTACAGCAGATTGCTTCAAGTAAACATTAATCCCTGATATAATACGTAAACCATATTTTTCCAACAAATGACTATTTCTGATGTAAGGAAGCAGCATCTCAAATATCTAGAGGTACTTTAAAAAGGCAATTAAACCCCCCCCACTGTACATAGGAAACCCAAGTGATGCTTAGCTTACTAAATCTTCAAAGAGGGCAAAGTGATTCTCTCCCCATTTTATGTTTAATATATTGCTGTATGAATCTTCCAATAAGCAACAAGGAAGATTCTTCATAAAGTACTCCATCACAGGGAGAGAGATCAAGGTGGGTCCAATAAACACCAGCCTTTTGAGCACCAGCAGAATGTTCCAGGGCTAAAAACTACCATCACCCACCTGCCAACTTCATTAGGGAAGCAACTATAAACAGCTGTCACAGGAAAGCTACCTTAGAGCAAAATGTCCGTCTTATGGCAGAAGCTTCTCCGGGTCTCCCTCGCTCAAAATGAAGCCTGGCAGAATTTGGGAACAGTGAGGTATATTTTTGCATTTTTCTCTTAAAATCTTGCCTCCTTCCAAGGCACACATATTGAAAAATCAAAATCCATTTCTGAGTTGGATCTCTGTATAGCCATTTCTTCATAGAGTTCCTGCTGACAGTGACAAGGCGAACCCAGTTTGTGTAACCCAACTCTGTGTTTTGCTGTCAAAACATCCTGGCTCCCTTTTTCCACAGGCGCTCAGCCGTCAAAACAGCCGGCTGCATATGAGTGATGCCTGCTGAAGTAGCTGCTGCCGTAGATCAATGAGAGGCAATGCCTGGATTCTGTCGAAATGGCCACCTGCATTGTGATTGGCCCTTGGATAGACACGGTCTGCAAAACAGGTTGGAAATTCTCCTGCAGGGCAGAATAGGTATGCAGCACGCTGTTCCCTGAGGTGAGGCCACTGGGTCGAGGAGCTTGCAGGGAGTCCCGATAAGCGGAGCAGAGATCCTGTATCGGAGAACAGAACTGTGACAGGACAGCCGAGGGCTGGGCCAGGGGGTGGTACTGCGGCTGTTGGAAGAGAACCTGAGTTGGTGTCTGGAGGGTTAGGCTTTCCATAACTTGCTGCTGCTGCTGTTGCAACAGGGTCACACAATCTTTTTCCTTCGGGGCTTCTCTGGGGTCCTTACTGTGAGCTTTGCTGGAAGAAAATAAATCAAGAACACAGTCAAACCAGGTTTTGTAAAGAAGTGTGAATCTAGGGCAGCAGAATAAATGAATTTCCACAAAACAACTTGTATGCCACCAGGGAAAACATTAAAATTACTGAATATTTTGTGGTTTCAATCATTTTATTTGCATCTGAGTACCATTTACACTCTCCTGTTCAAATTCAGGAAAAAGAAATTAATCAGCTAGAATTGATTGTGTGTAAAGAATTTATTTTAAAAGATGCCCATTAATTTGCTTATGTTGCAAACATCTATGCAGGGATCTATTGCCAAAACGGAGATGGTATGAGTATTATATTAACACATTGCAAAAGCTTAGGACAGTGGGAGCAACCTGCAGGAACCACATAGTCCAAGAGGACGTGTCACAAAATGGAATCTTGGATCAGGGCAACCACGGATCCCCATCTATACACCAACACTTTATTTCAGAATGCAAGCATAAGTCACTGAGGAAGACGCAGTGACAATAGCAAATCCCTTTAACTAACTTGCAAGTATTTTCCTGGGCTCATGCGGCTACTGTTCAAGCCCAGGAAAAGCCACAATTTCTTTAAGGAGCAGCCAAAAGACACAGAACCCACTCCTGCCCACTTTAGATCCAAATATGGCATCCTTATGGTCTATAACACCGTGTTGGCAGTCAGGAGAATGGTCCACTTTTCTTCGAAACTTACCCAAGCATGAGTTCAATGCAGGGAGCAAGATGTTCCCAGGAATAACATGTCAGCAGCTGGAGCTGGGTGGTCCACGAGGGAGAGATCTCAAGGTAGATGCGGGAGGCACCCACACAAGCAGCAGCAACAACAGAAGGCCGAAAAGAGAGAAAAACATGATCTGGGGGTGGGGAGGGAACAAACAAATGAATTAACTTTGGGACCAAACTCGGATTAATTTGTAGACTTGGCAGGAGACCAATAATTTAGAATTGGCTCAATTGTATGGCCAGGTGAGTCATTTTTGAATGCTTTCTTTGAGTACTATCTGGTTCACTCTGCCTATAGTCATCTCTTGGTTTTGCTTACAGGGAACTTGGCCTCTCCCCCACTAGGCACAACCACCACTGTTGGTAAACTAAGATGTCAGAATAGCACAAGCACAAGGAAATTAATACTGAGATGTCACGGCTGTTTGCAAGCAACACCATGGAAAGCTACTGAAATCTCTTGGTGTGCTAGATGCTAATTCAGGCTATGAAAGGGGACCATTTTTATTCTCCCTTCCTCTATAGTTTGTATTTTTGTTTTTTTGCGGTATTTATTAATGTGGTTTTTTAAATATTTCTTCTGTTGTTTTTAATCTGTCTTTTTATGATTGTTGTACGCCACTGAGAGTAGCTTTGGTGAGATGGGCAGCTATATAAATGTGCTTAATAAATATAAATAAATAACACCTGGACAATTCCAGTCGATACACAGCTGGAATAGTGGACTGGACTCAAGCAGAACTAGAAGCCCTGGATAGGAAGACCAGAAAAATGATGACAATTAATCATGCCCTACCCACGCAGTGATGTTGACAGACTCTACTTACCAAGGAACATTGGTGGGCATGGAATGTTGCAAGTACACCAGAGAGTTGAAGAAGAAAAAAGGGCATTGGAAGAATTTCTGAAGGACAATGAAGAAGATGCACTGAAGCTAGTACACCATGAAGGCTTACTGAATACCAAAGAAACC